AAGTGCGTGTTCATGCCGGCCGTATGCGCGCGCGTGTGTGTGTGTGTATGTGTTTGTCGCTGCAGCCGTGCTCACGTGTCTCTCCGATTATGTTAGAGGTACGCGATGATGCACCACTATCCGTTATACCCTTCCCCTCGTCATACTGGATATATACGAGGATTATACGTCATCGCCTGCAAGTATATCGTTGCAAGGCTCCCACCGATAACGGATCACCGATCGATGATGGTGGTCGCTTGTCGAATCTGACGGTGTCGATACGCGAGAATGTTTTATCCGACTTGAGGGTAGAATGATTTCGAGATATTGTCTTATTATCAATTATTCGTTATTCATTATCATTCTAAAGAATTTCTTAACATTTGCGATCTTGAAGATTTAATTTCATTGACTTCTACGTTCTAGTTCTGACTGTCCAACGGAAATAATAGCGCGTAACGAGAAGCTTTTTACATAAAGAAAAATTCAGCTCGTCAATTAAAAATGTTGAAAAGAATTACATAAAATCATATTTTTATATATATATATATATACATGTATGTATATACGCGCACGTGCGTGTCTTGGTTACGCGCGCGAGAAGAGGTGAGTCGTCGCGCCGCTGCAACGATCACTGCCTGCAATCGCCTCTCGTTTCTCCTTCATTACTCATCGCCTAAGTGAATGATGCAAATCATGTTCCGGACAAACAGTCGCATTTACACGCACGCGCGAGAGAACTTATACGCGTTTACCTTAACGCATATGGATTGCTCTTTTTTTCTCGCGTTGGCGGCAGGGCAGCGGTTCCCAATCCTTTTCAACTCGCAATTTCTTTCACGCAATATTTGTGACAATGAAAAAAAATCTGCGTTAAAAGCGGGATGATACTAATTTTCCGAAAATGTTGCTGGAATTTACACCATTCGATGTTATTCCTATCTTACAGAAATTAGTGTCTCAAAATAAAACATATTGTTTTATATAAATATTATATATAAAAGCAATTCATTAATTATCAATTACTGTTGTAAAATAGTTGAAGATATCTTACTATTGTAATTGCTGTTGAGTATTAAATGTGAAACGCTTATTCGCACTTTTGCATATCATAGGTTGGGAATCGCTGGCGTAGGGGGACTTGCATAACACATATCGTAACTGTCTCTCTAGATCAGCTGACACGCATAATCATTTCGATGAAGTATCATCGTCTTTTCTTTTTCATTCGTTAACACGCTAATTAAATGCGTTTAATGCTTGAGAAATGATAATCGATAATGTATTATACAGATTGTGCGTGCGTAGAATACTATCATATTATTTATCTTTTATTTTTTATTCTGTGTATTTAGCCTTGGACATATTTCTTAATTTCACGTTGTATACGACTCAAAATATGCGCATAATCAAACGTTTAAAAAATATGATTGACATGCATTACTATTTTGTATTTCGAATACTCTTGAATTTATTATTTGAATCTCTTCTTCGAAATCAAATCTCGCGTATTAGGTTTCTCCTCTGTCAACGAAAAATATACGTAATAGCGTCGAACGTCTCGTAAATGTTTATAAGGCGGGCACGCTCTTATAAACTGCCGATAAGCTAAACAAACTAAAGATCCCAATAATAGCCAACCTTACAATGACGATTTAGTACCGTAGAGATATTCAAACCTATCCTTTGTGAATTAACAGACACACGGAGATAAATAGAGTTATATTCGAATCTTTAGGGCTATGATGATGCGACAAACTCTTAAAGATTCTTGCGTATCTTCCATTCTTAAAATTCCAACGGTCTTGCTCCTAAATATTCCGTTTTTAAATAATAATATCAAATTGCACAGTTAATTTTGATGTAGTTCCATATAAAAGAGAGAAAAATTTTTTATCCAGTTTTGAAATATAATAATTATTTCAATTTCCTTTGTAGTTATGAAAATAGTCTGTAATTTGTTTATTTACCACAATAATTTTTTCTTTTTATGATGGCTCTCAAAAGATATATATTAGTGTTCTGTTTCGCTATTCAAAAGTATTTGATTGCCTTTACTATATGCGAATATAGTAAATAAATGTTATGAGAAATGCGTAGACTCAAAGTTGATCGATTGACATTTTGTGACATTATTTCAAAGTTGCTGATTCACGTGTCATGAATATGTATTTACAAATGGCGTTATTCATTGAACTATGATGGCTTATTGTTTTATTGCGTTGACCCGTTTAAATTGTTCGAAACGAATGTGATCGCACTCATGGGAACGAGCATTGCATTAATTGTCGAGGACGCGGCTGTACAGGATACTAATTGTCCTCGAATGGTGCAATAATTACGGTCTCGCACGCTTTAGTCACCGTGCCGAAAAGATCTTAGCATTCATATTTATCGAGCGTCATGGAGAAGTGCGCAAACGCCGGCCGTGTGATCGCCTGACTCGTGTGACTACTGCGATTAGTCATAATTAATATTATATGAAGTCTGAAAGAGAGAGAGAGAGGTTCCGCGCGTTTTTCTTTATTAGAAACTAAAAATGCAGAGAATAAAATAATTTGTTCAATGTCAAAATGCGAACGATTTTTGAGTCGTGAGCGGTTGGAAGATTAAAGATCCTCGCGGAACTTTTATTTATCAAAAAAGAGTACATAATATCAAAAGATAACTGTTTCCGAAATCATATCTGCAATTTCCTTCCTTCGTCGCGCAAATGTTCTAAGAAAAACATGCATCTGAAGGTCGCAAAATTTATTGCATCTAAGTACAGTTGAAGCATCGCGATCACATGGTTATACTGCGTAGCACCTGGATTGTAGAGACGCACGTGGAATGTGTCTCGAAGTTTAAAATAGCGATAAATCACGTCAAGCAAAAATTATGTTAAATGCAACACCGCGCTTCTATCATCTGTTGCGTTCCCCATTATCTATAACAATCACTACAGATTGTTTCGAGAGCGAACACTCGCGATGATTCAAATTCCGAATGAATCGGATATCGATAGTCGAGAGCATATGTATGCATAATGGTTTAAAATGAGCCGATTGAAAATTCTACGATTTTCGCGAATGTATTTGGTCGCGATGCGCGACCTCGATTTTCACAATACGTGTCTTTCCTGCGAAAGGATACATAGTATAGCAAATCGCGGTGATATGTAATTTGACATCTTTGAGAGCGTTTGATAAACGGCTTATAACTTACTGCAAGATAAAGATGCTCGAATCAAAATTTAGCTAATCCATCATTCCTAGTTATATAATGAAATTTCAATGAATTTTTTTAATCTTATATTTTATCGAATATTATATACCAATATACCTATAAATATAATATTGTGAAATTTTTGGAATATATTAAAGTTAAATCACACATGGTTATCACATGTTGCGTTGGCCACATTCTAATCCAAATGTTTCAACTATGATGAAGCGATGATAACGAGAATATCACGACAATATAATAAACATATCGGATATCGGATATTCTGGTAGCGAATCGCGCGCGTATCGCAAAACTTCGGACGACGGTACGTTACTGGAAACTGGGCTCCCTATCACTCCGCATAACGACATGATGCTCTTCCTCTTTCCTTCGTCTCTTACACTGTGAGACACCTACACTTAGTATCTCACGCGTGCATTGCGTGGCTACATGTATCACCCGCATCATATGTTTATATATACATCCTTGTAGCGAGTGACGTGCACAACATAAATCTGATAACACGAAAATATGATTATAGTTTATTCGCCAATGACGTAGCTTGTGTCATTATAATTATTTATTTATTTTTGTCTTCATTATCCGCATCAAAGGGAATATTTTCGATATGGCGGTTGTTAAGGAAATTTCGAATGATGATCAATACTAATCTATTGATATGATAAGTGAATCATTAAAACTGATTTATAATATTCAAGAGATGTGTGTATTTCAATACGTGTGAAATAATCTGTGAAATATGGGAGATCGTTATATATTATATATAGTAATCTTTCGCGAATAACAGTCCAGAATGAATTTCACTATGAGGACATTGTTACTGAAAAGGGAAATAATGAAGGCACCTGTTACAAATTTGAGTCCTATTGTATGGAAATATGGAAAATCGGTACTACAATATCATTATCAACGTACATTCAACAAATTAATATATGCCAATGTGTTATATATATATATTATAATAATAAATAATATTTATAAATATCGTATTTTTCATAATATTTTTGGAGAGAGTAGATTTTTTTACGATTTGCTGTCTTGCCAAGGAGTTTGTAAAAGTGTTACTACGGATACATTGTATATACACACATGAAGCTTACGTATTTAACAGAATACGTATTTTGCAATTTGACATTAGAAAAAAATATAAACTTTTTTCTATTCTATCTGATTTTCGCTTATGTCCTTCGCGATACCAAATACCGACATACATCATAAATGCTATTGCTCACTTTCATATATTTTACTTTCAAGGTCGGATGTATATCTTTTTCTTTATGAACTGACATAATATTCTGTTACTCTTTTAGAGAAATTTATATTAACAGTAAATAAGATAACTTTCTGTATGATATATCAAAATCACTTTATATAAAGTGTATGTACACATATAAAGCGCTTCGATTTAATTCCCAGATTCATATTAAAATACATGAATAAATTATTTCATTTTATAAATTTAATATCCGTTATTATATAAGATTACAGTCGCAAAAAAATTTTAACAGAAAAGCTTGCAAAAAGTTAATGATCAATATTTCTATGATATGAGATAGCATTGAATTAATAAATTATCAAAATTTTTTTATAACACATTTTAATTTTTGTAGATTTATTTATTAGAAAAGTCAAAGATTTTTATTGCTCACTCTCTCTCTCTCTCTCTGGATAGTGTGGATCAAAGGCGCCGTTACAATATTGATAAACAAACGCCCGGAACCCGGAACAGATTGTGCCTGTGCGATAGTAGGATCAGGCGAGGAGAAGGAAGGGATGAGCGGCGTAATGCGCATGCGCATGCCGGTCCTCTCTCTGCAGCTGATAGCTGATCTGTTGAGAAGCGCCATACAACGGCAATACGCAATTCGCGGCAGTTCGTGTTAGCGCTTTACTGTAGTTTTCGTATATTCAGCTGTGCTATTTTGGTCTCAACGCGATTGCTTATTGAACGATTTGTGAGAAAGGACACGGAGAATATCCTGATTAGTACCAACGAAGACGGACAAGGTACGTAAGCGAGCGGGAAAGCAATAATGTGTCTCATCTCGGCCATGTTAGGCGGAATGCTTTGTAATCGATCCTTTACCACGTGGTACAATAATTACGCTTTAAGATTGCGTCAACGCCTAATATTCACCGGCGAGATGTTTGTCGTCTTGAATTAATTGCGAATGCAGTTTTCTCGCGATGTAGTATAAAGTATACGATACTAATTAGTCGTAATATAATACCGGCGTTGCCGGTTACAAAAGCAAGCCGGTACTTGCGCTTTTCTTTGTCTAAACTGTGGTCTCCTAGCTAAGAGCAACGCTATATTATACGTTCCAATCCTTTGATATATTTGTATGGAGAGCAATTGTGCAGTTATTCAAAAATGTTTTTGCTCGATTCCAGCGGTTTTTTTTCAGTTATTCTGCTATAAACATTCTGAAGCAACTAAAAAGAAGATAATCTTTAATATTTTACGGCAGAGCAAAAAAGCAAATTACAATAAAAAAAGTCGATTATGCGAACGAGACGTAATTGCAAATTTTTTAATATTGAGAGATCGTAAATAAAATGATACTTTCGGAATATAAAATGATCTGACTGTTAGAGAAATAATACATTTGTATTGCTTATATTTTATATAAAAGTTTAACTGTATTATATATACGAATATATATAGAATTATAGAATATAATGTTATAAGATTTGAAACGGAAACTGTTGCGGCTGATATTTTGCTCGCGATTATACTTTGTCTGCTAGTTCGCGATATGTTTATGGCCTTCATATTTTTGTTTCTTCAACACATATTTCTAAGCAAAAACTGCGTACAAAAAATGTACAAAAAACTACTGCAACTTTTTAGGTATTACCAAGTTATAATAGAAGATATGTGATATTTAACGTGTGTAAATTTATGTGCTAAGGAATATCTTGATTTTTATATTTGCTATGAATAATGGAAATTATTTAAAAAGTTTTTTCATATATTATTTTGTGTAATATTCGTGCATATAATAAAATGAAAAATGGCTATGAAATATTAATAAAATGTTTACATACATATATATACACACATAATTGCAAAATATTATGTGTAATTTTTGAGGAATAATATAAATTTAAACTGATTTATTTACATTTATTAGCAAACATATATAAAAAAGATACTGTTATTTGTTGTATAATTTAGATTGAATATGATTTTGTAATTATCATATAATTTACTTTTTCATAATTCATGTACACAAATTATTATTATATTAAATTATTTTTATTATTACTTTATATCCAATTGTTTTCTAGTATAATTTATAGTAAATAATATTTTATCTTTTATTTTTTATTTTTTTTATATTAAAAAACAATCCAATATATTTAATAATTATGTATGCATTATTAAATTAGAAATTTTTAAGTTATATATTAACTATACATTCTATTTATACATGTTAAATATGTTTATGCTAAATGTATTTGTAATTATGATAATAGGCAAAAAGATGACTGAAGAACAGTGGGGAATTAACGATATGGACTTTTCGCAGCCACCAGTGAACACGTCTTCGGTAAGAATATGATTTTAAATAATTTTGACATACGATTTAAATATATGTTAAATATATATAAATAAAAAATGATAAAAAATTAATGAACTAATCATTAATGTTGATATCCTATTTATATATAGTTTGATGAAGGACGTGCTCCCTCTCATGGCAAAGGACGTGGCACAATTCCATACAACAACAATGATACAAATGGCTCTGTGGGAAGACATAATTCCTACAACAACGGAAAAACAGATGACCATCAAGAAAACTATGGTGATAATGCTTATAATGAAAATAATGGATATGAAGGTAATAATAGCAAAAGATTTGGAGGAAACAACAGACGACAAGACAACGATAGACCACGTTATGGAAATCATAGAGGTGATGGTGATGGAAATGATCGTAGGTGGCAAGGCAATAGGGATAGGAACAATAGTAGGCAAAATAGAGGTAACAATGATGGCGAAACTGAGGATAATAGATATGATGGAAATTACCAGAACGATAGAAGGGACAGACCAAGAAGAGATAGAGATGATAATAGAGGTGGAAGAAGTGGCGGTTATGGTAGGAATAGGGATAGGGATGGTGATGATGAAGAAAACAACGATAGGCAGGACAGAGGGCGCAGAGGAAACGGTGGTAAAGAAGGCAATAATGAAGATGAACCAAAAAAGAGAGAAATTTATATTCCACCAGAGCAACCTAATGACGATAGTTTGTTTGGAAACGACGTATCAGTAGGAATAAATTTCGATAAATACGATGACATTGAAGTAAAAGTGTCTGGTGAGAATGCACCGCGACCGATACAATCCTTTAATCAAACTGGCTTGAGATCTATCTTGTTGGATAATATTAAGAAATCTGGTTATACAAAACCTACTCCTGTTCAAAAGTACGCCGTTCCGATTATAATGAGTGGCCGTGATTTGATGGCTTGCGCGCAAACAGGTTCAGGCAAAACTGCGGCATTTGTACTTCCTATCCTACACACTTTGTTGGAAAGCCCAAGAGATTTAATTACAACGGCCACTTCCTGCGAACCGCAAGTAATTATTATATCACCCACACGCGAGCTTACCTTGCAGATTTATCAACAGGTCAAGAAATTTTCTTTGAACTCTATCTTACGCTCTGAGGTTGCTTACGGAGGAACATCAGTTATTCATCAGAGAGATAAATTATTTGCCGGTTGTCACATTTTAGTCGCGACACCAGGTAGATTGTTGGATTTCATTGGAAAAGGCAGAATTAAACTTTCTTCCTTACGTTTTTTTGTACTGGATGAGGCTGACCGAATGCTGGATATGGGCTTTCTACCCGATATCGAAAAGATAGTGGATCATGAGACAATGGTGCCTGCAGAGGAAAGACAGACCCTTATGTTTTCTGCTACCTTCCCGAATGAGATACAAGAACTTGCAAGTCGATTTTTGAAGAATTATTTATTCCTTGCCGTTGGAATCGTAGGTGGTGCTTGTGCTGATGTAGAACAGAATTTCTATCAAGCATCTGGCCAACCCGAGAAACGAAAGTTGCTGAAAGAAATTCTAGAGAAACAAAGTCAGATGGGAAGTTTAGAAGGTACTTTAGTATTCGTCGAGCAGAAGAGACACACGGATTTCATCGCTGCTTTCTTGTCGGAGAGCAATTTTCCGACGACCAGCATACATGGCGATAGATTGCAGAGAGAACGAGAAGAAGCCCTGTCTGATTTTAAGCGAGGAAAAATGTCGATTTTGGTAGCAACGGCGGTTGCTGCGCGAGGCTTGGACATTAAAAATGTCGCTCATGTAATTAACTTTGACTTACCAAAGGCAATCGACGAATACGTTCATAGAATTGGACGAACTGGACGTGTGGGAAACCGCGGCAAAGCGACTTCATTCTTCGATCCAAATGTGGATCTGCCACTCACTGGTGATTTAATCAAAATTTTGAAACAAGCTGATCAAGCGATACCTGGCTGGCTAGAATCTGGTGGTGGTGGCGGTAGCAGAACCTTTGCGCCAGGAAGAGGATCAAGAAGATTCGGCGGGGAGGATATCAGAGGCGTAAGTAATACTATGCAATTTAGATTTCTGATTGAATGTCGATAACGCAATTTATTTTTGTTATACGGTAACTTTCCTGAATAGTGAAAATACTTGATTACAAAAGCTATGAAAATATAATTAAATCAAATTGGAAGTTGTAATAAATATTAGATATAATTAGATATATACAAATAGGATTTACTAATTTTCTACAGAACAATGATGCATATGGTGAGACATATGATGATGTTGGTTATGCACCTCCTGTACCAGCCGAACCAGAAGAAGTATGGTAGACAAGACGTGCCTCCTATTTTATATAAATTACTACTCGTTTTTTTTTAATTTCAAAAAATATGGTAGATTCTATAAAGAATATGTAGACAAAAACATATTAGACTGATGACAATTATTTTCCATTTTTTTTTTTTTTTTTTTAGTTTACTATATTATTTCATTATGTTTGTTAGATATTATGTTTCTTACAGTGAGAAAGAATTTAAACCACATTCAGATTTTTATATTACTACCTCAGTGTTTCACATAGATTTAACTATATATATATACATATTCCAGTAGTTAAGTTTTAGATTACACGCTAGAGGTATGCGGAGGATTTTATATTACATGCATTTACTTATATTACTTTTCAAGTAATATAGATAAATTACGTAATATATTATATGAAAAAATGTATATTCCTGAATAGGACATAATTATATGTTTCTTTTCTTGTTTCTTTAATCGCAACCAAAATATTCCATGTGATATTGTAAGTTTAATTATTTATCTTTGTGATAAGTAATTATAATAATGGTTTACGAAACAATGTGATTACATTATGTTTTTTTTTTTTGATGTTATTATATTTTTATATATTATAATAAAAATACAATCTTATAACAAACTTTATACTTTAATAATAAAACACTTTCTATGAAAACATTTTTCAATAAATTTCAATGTTTATTTTTAGGTTTTATATAGTAACAGAAATTAATATATTATTATTATTAATTATAGGATGCTTTAATGTACATATAGAGCGCGAATATGCTTTACTGGCAATGAGTAAAGAATGTTAATGAAAATTGTGTTAAAAAACGGTTAAAAACATGTTTTAAATTTCGATTCAATTCAATTCATTAATTATTAAATTGCGATTACCAAATTGTATAATCAATTTCCAAAAATATGCTATTATTGATGTGAATGACATATTTAAGAATCTTCAAGTTCTCTTTGGGTCTGTGTTCTTTAAATTTTACATTATTGAAGAAGTGAGATTTTATCGTGAAATCTATTGATATAATAATGATATAAATGGTTATAGTACTTACCATCATTCATAGCCATATCCATCAAGTGCAAATCCTCATCGTTGAGTAAAGATGAAAGAAATCCGTCAGTGGTTTGGTTGATAGAATCTGTTGTCGGTGTATGATAGTACATCATATCGCTGGGTTCAGATTTATAAGTCGCGCCACTTTCTGCACCCATTGGTTCGCTACTATTCGTTAAATTCATTGATGTTGCCACAGCTGATCCCAGATTCGACGACCCACCTGTAACAGTGAGCAGTTTAGTTCAGACAAAGAAATTTCTTAGATGACATTAGATTATTGCATTTACCATTTTCTTTGTTATAAAATTAATGATGACATGAGTTGATATTTGTACATAATACACATATGTACGTAAGTAAGGTGTGTAATATGAGTGTATAAATATATATATATATAAACGTTTTTGGATCACATATTTTGAAGATAATAAAAGTTTGCACATTAGATTTCGCGCATAATATTTTACATTTCTGATGTACACACATCGTATATTAGCTTAATTTTAATTTATGCTGCAAAACTTTGCTGCTACATCGGAGATAATAGAGAGAGAGAGAATAGCATTTAATATAAATTAGAAATAAAACTTTCATATAACTTTAACAATACTCACCCACATTGTGATAAGGTCCGGTCGAATTTAGATCCCCAACCGGAGGTGCTAAGGTAGGATTATGGAGCAATACATTACGTTGCGCCTCGTAATGACTGTGACTTATACCGTGTCCTGGATATCCAGAATGTGCTGGATGTGCGAAATGATCCGGTGCTCCCGGTAGGGATAACAGAGATGCGAGATCTTGCCACCGCTGTTCCATGCTCATCGCTCGCATAAATGGCATGCGACCCTGAAACGAATAAGACTGATATTTAAAAAAAAACAACGTTCACAAAAAATAAGTAATTGTAATATTACCTCTCTTTTTTACAATAAGTATATAATTAATAATTATTTAAATATTAAAAAAATTTGTTTTAGCATATATATTTTGCCTATATTAATATTATTGAAATTTTATATAATGTGATATGTAATATGACATTGTTATTTTTATTCTCTTAAAAGAATTATTAAAACTACGATTTTGAATTCATATCAAAAATCTTATGACGAATATATACAATTAATTGCGTTTTTATTAAATTATTGATAAAAATTGATAAATTTCATCCGTGTTTACAACATCTATAAAATTGTCCGTATGATTTTTGAACCTCGTACCAATTATCTTATTTCGTAAATCTTACTATAATAGAATCGAACATCCATCGATCGGATGTCACGCAAGAGGAACTTCGTAGCCGTCGTGCCTGTCAAATGTCAACCAGGTAGACATCAGAGAATTCCAAGGAGACAGGAACCCCGCTGATCGCGTAGGTGTTGGTTGCAGGTAAGATTGGTAAAGGATATTAATAACAGCGGTACTACGTGTCAAAAAGTATCCTTTTCCTCTTGTAAGGGCGTGCGTCAATCGTGATCGCGTGTCATTCGATATAGGAATTATGATGGGCGAAATTAATGATTTAAAAACGCGGGACCACGTTTTATAAGTAGCCACCAAATAATAACACGTTATGCCATGGATTATTAAAATTTCATTTGTTGAAATAACATGATAGACTTTTGCAAGAATGTAGAGTTACAATACTCTCTTTTCATGTATATTCTGTCAATATGTTCGCCAATATGTGCAAAGTTATATAAACGCAGAGTAAAAAAACGTACAAATTAGTACATCAATCCCTTATTACAGATGAATAATAAGCATCTTGTTAGCATATTTCTTGTTTCTCGTATGGTTGTTAAAGTATGGCATAACAGGAAATACGGAATTATCTACTATTTCTCTTTCTCTCCCTCCCTCTCTCTCTCTCTCTCTCTCTAGAGACACGTGTTTTACGCTATCGAGAAAAAAGATTTCTATAAATTTTATATATGGTTCAAGAGTAAGAAACCTCGACGACATGCGCGCGAAGAGAATCCCGGTTTGTCCGTTAATTGTGAGAGAAGTCTCACGCGAACGCGTGTGCACTTTCACGAAAATTTCCTCCCGTTCACAGCATCAAGTCGGAGGAGAAGGAGGAGGAGGAGGAGAAAAGATTCAGAAGTTGCGTCTCGCGGCGTAAGTACGGTAGTGCTGCTGCCGAGGGTACGTACTCAACAACCAGCGCCTTAATGCACACAGGTATTGTCGCTAATGCGCTGGAGCGCAAGAAGAAGATGAATAGGGAAGAGCGCTGCCGTTGGCTGGCTGTGCGCGCCGGGCCTGTTGGATTGTTGTTCGCGGGCGCATCAATCAGAGTCGAGCCGGTGCAATCTGTCGAGCGCGACGCCTTTAAGGTGATTCTCGCTTGTCAGCGCATCTGCCGGCCTGTGTAGGCCGCGCAGAAATGTAGGACGGAGAAGAGGACTTTTGTTCCACGGCGATTTGTCGTACGGCGCGACGCCGGCGCGCACCGCGCGTTTCTAATGACCGGACTTTACGGCTCATCCTGGTTCGACGTAACGGCCGTGATTGAGTTATAGGAAAAAAAAAGCGTGCGCCGCGTTTAAGCCTGTCTCTCTTTCTCTTTTCGTCTCGGTAAAGAGGCGGCGATTACCGTCCACGACGCGGACGACGTGCGACGGTTTTCCGCCGTCACTGCCGGACGCGACTTCCAGTTTTCAATCATCGCCGGGAATACACGGGATTCGTTATAGCTCGCGGCGGATTAATCCATGACGGAGTGGTTAACGGATGCTGTCCGCGTTACACGAGGAACTGAAGTTCTCGTGGATGTTACATTAATTTGAGCACGTAAAGATTGAAGAAACGTTTAATTGACAGTTTATTATCAATCTTTTATCTCTCTTTTATTTTAAGGGAATATATCGTTACTTACTCATATACTCATATGTCTTGCACGGTAAAATATAAAATTATAATGATATGTAGATTATTAATTCCGCGATTTCACGTACGAAGTATGATTTATCGAACAGCCGTTAGGATTGCTCGACATAGCGTTCGCTTTGATAAATTCACGTCTTGAATTGGTATCTATACGAGTACGGTAAACGAACGTCGTGTCGCATTCCTCCACAGCTACTGGCGCTTATGATTTATGTACCACACACGGTACATATAGTCTCATATACAGCACACGTACATGTGCGTATCTCGCGTCTGTATACGCGATTTCGCTTCACGTGCAGAATCGTATGAATCTGCGAGAGGCTGCGAGGAAAGATATCTGTGCGCTGGCAGATGTTTGAAACGCGCTGTCGAGGACTCGCTAGATTTCTTCCGAGATCTCTCTCCCTCTCTTTATCCCCTTTTACCCCTCTGCAGCTATGTGCTCTTTTTCTATCTTTGTATTCATTAATATCGCAATATATTTCATCAAATCCATTAGAGGAATTCAGAAACAGATACAAGATTCGTACGAAATTAATTTTACTTTGATTCATTAAAAAGTATATTCATCGCATATTTGTATTTTTATATTATCATTTATCGCATTACTTTAATCTTAAGATATGTTTCCAGTGAAAACAATGTTGGTATTATTATTTTAATATTAGATATTTGAAATAACAGCTTTAGTTAATTATCGACAACTATTAATAAAACAAGCCATGCGAATATTTGAATTAGCAGGTTTATCGTCGTATTTTTCGCGTTAGATCTGCTTTCGAGAAATATCATGTTTCTTTCTTTCCCTTTTCTTCTTTTTCTGTTTAAAGTGCTATAAAATGCGATCAGTCTCTTCCTTTAGAATCGCGCGTCTGCAATTTTGTTTTTATTCCGCCTATAACATCACGGTGTGCACGAGCGGCAACAAAGCTATTTCGATCTATTTGACAGTGATCAACTAACCGCTTGACACCTGCCATCGCCATCGTTAACCTACCGGTCTCTCTACGGTCCTCGATCAGTTACTTCGAGTTACCTACTTTTCACCTCAACACGTCGCATGTGTTTTCGTACGTGACTGCTGGCAAAGCTCGTTTCTGTCACGAAGGTTGTGAATGAAAATATTGATGGATACGGATTCACAACCCTCACCCTTTATGTACATCACGGTATGTGAAAAATATTTTATCTATCTTTCGATTCATTTGCCAAGTCAGAAAATTTTCCCAGGCCTTCGGCGATCATATACGAATATCTGTAACGATAGGATCTTTCGATCTTTAGCCACTCGATCTTATTTAAGAATATATATAGCGATTGTGTATGTGATAAGAGATTTTTTAAATTAATTAAATAAAAAAAGCGCGCGAAGCATTGAAAATTGCATCGAAGCACTGCACTGAAGCGCCGATATCTTGTCGCGTCTGTTGTCTTTGTTGCATCCACGCGTGGCCTCAATGACCATACGAAGACAGAAATTCGTTTCACACATCCTAGATAGCCCTGGTACCGAGGCGCATTATGCATTTCACAGCGCATAAGTCCAGCAGCTGCCTGGAATCTTGGCGAACGGAACGGACTGTGACGCCCCGTCGCGTTTCTTGGTTCTTGGTGAAAATTGCCCGGTCGGGGTGCGCGTATGTAGGAATTTATGGGCGACAGAAGTGCGCTAAAAACTTAACTTTCTCGCGAGACTTCTAAAATTGACGCGCATCAAGGATTTTACGTGAACATACGTTTGCAGCGCAATAAAATTTTATAGATGGAGAATATTTGCATTATAGCGATTTAATTCGAAATACGATTGCAATTATTTTCAAATTATCTAAATCATAATAAATTTGTTTAATAAAGCGATAACATAAACTCGTTGATACTTCCATTTAAAAAATAAATAAGAAAGTATTAAAAAGTCATTAAATAATTTAAATCATCAAACTTAACATTTTGATGAAATTGATATTAAAAATTAAACTGAAGAAAGAAAAATGTTTTACAGGTGTGTGAATACGTAGACAATTTCTACTGTTTAATTATATCGCGAATTCAATAAATACCGGATGTTACATGTACCATTTTGTTGAAACATACCGGCGAATGGCCGGAAACGACTACCTCCGTAATGCGTCACCGACAAAACGTAAGTAATTAAAGATATGCGAGAAAGACGTGCGCATTACCCGTGATCGCCAATGTAATCTTACGACTAATGGACAAAGATATTAATTATGATTCATTCGGATTCATAGTCATCGGATTAATGCATACTAGCGTGGGTTATACCATGGGTTTGCGCTCGCGCCAAGTTCTCCAGCTATCGCCACAAGTGTATCCTAATGTCCGACCAGCATCTGCGTCTCCCTCCGTCCTTCTCATTTCCATATCGCGCATCCCGTTTCTCTTATTAATTTCATCTTACGGCTCCTCTTCGACTTCGCAATCCACCGGCTCGTTCCTTCGACTCCGTTTCTACCACGCGGATTGCCTTCTCTCACGATCTTCTTTCTCTTACTCCTTTATCTTCGCATTCGTCCCCTTTCTCCTCCCCGATCCTCTGTCTGCCGACTTTCTTCCCTCTCGATTCGTAACTCGGTGTTATGCGTAAATATTGTTCGGCGGTCCAAGGATACTTGAAGGGCTCTCCTTCAGCGCTCGAGGTTCTAAGCAAATATTCAAGTGCCATGGCAAATAACGCGCTACCGGCCCGCTCATGGGGCCTAGCAAATCTTTGTGCAAAGATATATACGACGAAGAAATCCGTCAATCACGGTCAAAGGTCATCCGGTACTTTTCCATTTCTTCGATTACGAGACCGAGCCTCGCGACTCTGCAATGTGATCATTATTATCCAATAGTACGACGAACGGCGATAATGATGAACTCGCCGATATTGCTTGATTATCTATTTACGCTCCATATTATTATCTATGTTAGCGATCGTGCCTTATTAT